AAATCAGATCTTCCCTTTTCCCAAGATGGAATTTCATTCCAGCCAATGAGATTCCTCTTGTGGTATCTCACCCACAGCTTAATGGTTGAGAGAGCTCATAAGCATGTCCAACCTGAGTAAACCCAGGTAATAACTATGGATTAATATGAATTTAAATCACTAGGCTGGTATGTGTAGACACTATGTGCTACTGGGGAAGCCTCGACTGCTTCCTTACAGCCCTGGCCTTGTGTTTCCAGTTCGTGTCTCTGCTCCTCTGTCTTGTGCCTGCGTGTATGTGTTGTGGGAGGAGTGTACATTTCATGCCCTAGATAATATATAAGCCCATGCATAGTGATTGTGGGAACATTTTTTTCCCCTTCCAGTTCTAACACATCTCCCTGTCTGCATATCATCCAGATGGATCTGTCTAAAGAGAACATCTAACAGAGGAAATCTTAAAAGGCATTCCCTGACCTCAGAAAGCCATGCCCAGGACCCAAGTGGTTTCTGTGCTGTCCCTCAGTCCTGATGCTGGGTGTCTGTGTGTACAGTGCAAGGCATTCAACAGTGTCTCCTGGCTTAGGTCAGGCTTCCAGGTCAGAGATGGGGTTAACCACCATCTAGCCCACTGAAAAAAGGTCAAAAAACTACAACTGTGTAACAATGGGAGGTAGGTAGATACTCGAAAAGGCTCAGAATGCTCAGTGAGAAGTGCTTTCTGATGCCCCTTACCTCTCAATGACACCAGAAACAGGGTATATACCCTGAGAAATGAATTAACCAACCTTTCTCTGTTAACTGGGTCTACACAAGCCCACTGCTAAGGAAACATATTTATATTTTCATTTATATTTGGTATCTTCAACAAAGATCAAAATAATACAGATGCATCACATGCACCTTGCTGATCAGACAGAACTACGTCCATAACCCATCATCTTGATTTCTGCCAGGATGCCCAAGCTCTCCCCAGTACAATCATAAGAGTGATTTGATTCAGTGTAGTATTAGCCAGGTCACACCCAGAAGGGGAACATTTTTAGCCACAATTCCCTAAGGCTAACAATGGTTTAAAAAAAGCAAAAAAACCCTGCAGCTATTTCTTCAGGTAGGTAAGAAATACAAGAGCCTTCTACCTCTGGGGTTTAGAAGTGGCAGCCCACAAAGGTAGATAGGGAGGCACTGGAGTGACTTTCCCGAGCTGGGGTCACATGTGGTGCTGACTGGCCCCCCGAATCGTCCTGGGGATCCTCTCACACAGTGATTCTCTACAGCAGACATAACGAACCTCCATAGATCGGTATTGTTAAGACCCAATGTGAGCTTACTGGGCGTGTTTTCACAGTGGGAGCACACGGGTGGGGTGACCTCCCTCCCAGATGTAGACGCCAGAGACCTAAGTACTCCTCTGCAGAGAGAGGCCTGCAGGTCTGGGTGGTGGGGTAGACGTCCCCTCCTCTACTACAGGGATGGCCCTGTGGGAACTGACTGCTCTTGCCTGTTGTGCTAAGTGGTACAACCATTTTTCAGATTCATGTTAATAAACGGTAATTTTGTAATACACTTTGAGTTACTTGGAGATTTGGGTTATTTCATGGAACTGAGAAAAAGGCCTTCTTTAAGGGAAGCAGAAGTGGCCCTGGGGTGGGTCTTGTATGGGGTATCCTCTGCAGATGAGCTGAAACCTCATTCCACTGCTGAGAGAATGGGAGCCGCACCAAGGGCAACAGACGGGCAGGCGCTCCGAACACAGGCGCTCCCTGCTGAGCGTCCCCTCAGCGCAGGGACCCGGCCTCCCCCGAGCTCAGCAACAGTGACTGCTGTGCAGTCGCTCAAACAGTACATCCCCAGCCTGAGGTGCGTGCAACGGCAGATGGGGCAGCGCAAAACAGAGACGCTGAACATTAGAGACCTGGGAAGCCTCCAACGAGTCTGGCTGTGAGGAGGGCTGCGCCTTACCCCAAATCCCCCAAACACGCCACGTCTGCAACCCCAAGACTCTCCATCTAATCCCGCACGAGGGCAGCTCTTCAGCTCTGCCTCGGGGTGAGGCTTCTGCAAATACTAAAACCTGATGCCATTTTCTTGGGTGTTTTATCAGCTTGAATAATAACTAATGGATAAAAATCTTTCTGGGTTTGGCCCCTGTCCAGCACTGAGACTCTCTTTTGGGCACGTTTCTGGTGTTCTCAAGAACCCAGCCGTGTCAGCTAGCACTACCCGCTGGAAAACTGTTTGTTTACAGTCTCCTTTTTTCCTCAGAGTGTGAAAATCAGGAGTGCAGCTCTCTCTGTTCTACTCACTCTCATATGCCCTTCTGGCTGCAAGGAGGTTCCTGCTGTTATTATAGTCTCTGGTTAATGTTTGCTAAGTGACTGTGAAGATAAGGGCATCAATGAATGACTATTCCTCAGCCAGCTTTCCATGACCCCCAAGATCAGTAGGTGCTCATCATGGGAACTTGCGGTTGAGGAAACCCGCCGACGTGGTGAGCGGACCGGTTTTACACACCAAGGCAAAAAAGGAAGCGGTAAGAAGGGGCCACCAGACCCTTAGGCAGCCAGGAACCTGAGGAAACAAGCCGCTAATCATGTGATGCAGCTTGGTTTTTTTTTCTGATCCTCTAGACTAGGAATTGCCTGGCAAACTTGTGCAAGGGCCAGCCAGATAGTAAATATTTTCAGCTTCAAAGGCCCTGGGTACTCACTCAACTCTTCTGTGGCAGGGCAGAAGTGGCCACAGATAACACGTAGGTGGCTGGGCATGGTCAGGTTTCAATACATTACGTATGGACACTGAAATCTGAATTTCATGTCTCTTGTCCTTCCCCACTCCAAATCTTCAAGATGTAAAGCTCTTTCTCGGCTTATGCATCTGGCTCACGGGCTATAGTCTGCCAACCCTTATTCCTGAGAAGTACTATGTCGTTGCCCTAACAATTCCCAAGCTTTGAAGAACTGGAAACCTTCAGAATTAGCTTCTCTCTTCTTCCACTCATCTTTGATTCCTATCCCAAGTTAAAAAACCTGCCTTCTATTGACTGAGGGCTGAAGGATAAGGGAAATCTATGAATATATGAAATCCCTAAAACAAAGATTCTCCTGTCAGTCTGGACCACTCCCGGGCCATACCCACCAAAAAGCAACATCAAAGCTGCCGGAAGACTTGACTTACTGATGGTCTAACTCCATCCCTTTTCCCACCCGTGCTCTGTAGAAGGTGAGAAATAATGAGTCAGCTAGACACTCGGTTCCAGAGTGATACTGGCCCCGTGCTCACACGCGAGTCTGCGGTGCCGGCCTCAGGAGCCATCACAGCCCTGCTCAATACGTACTCCAGCTGATCATTAGGGATTTTAGCAAGTCAGTAAATAAATGCAGGAAGTTGTGTTCCTTTAGAAGCACCCCCACCAATACATATAAATCTAGGCAGCAAAAACCATATAGTTTGCTCTTTCGAATCCAGTTTTTCAAGGCCTTACTGTATACCAATCATAGGCTTCGGGGGTGGGAAACACTACTTTTCTCCTTCCCAATAAACATGCTTGGTTTAAATATGTTTCCAAAGACAGGTCGAAATTTGGAGATTTCATGATGTACCCTCTGCCTGAAGAATATCCTCCAGAGAGTTTGTTATATGTACTATGAATGGAAAAATGCTAACTAGCTAAAGAAAATAACTTTTGAGACAATCTTACTAAAAAAATGTAATTTGTCATAGAAGACGATAACTAATTTAAAAAAATCCTTTCGATCCTGAAAAGTCACAACAAAAAGTTTAAGTGTGTTTTGGCTGATTTTTCTCTGCAACTATTTGAAGCTGTAAATGACTTAACTCAGTAAAATTCCAAATGTAATTATCTTCTGTACTTAGCCTAGGGCTCTCCATATATCTCGGCCTTGCTGTCTTGCATACAAAATAGGCTTTGGATGGCCGGTAACAATATAATGTACAACACTGTTTTAATTTCCCCTCGTCGGCTAACCTCTTGCCTACACTGAACCAGCCAGAGGAGGAAGTCTCAGTGAGGCATCAAGCACTCAAAAGCATTTCGGAACTCGGTTGCATAAATGGGGTTTACAGGGTCAGGCTTTTGCAATTGTACATTTTAATAATCTCCATTTCTGACCCAATTTTTACTTTCAGAAACTAATTTTCTATTAATTACACCAAGAATGAAACTATTGTGACAATATGGTGGTTCATCAACAAGTGACATCAGGCAGAGGAGCCCATGTTAAACATGCCCCTGGTCCGCAAACTGGAAATGTGCAGAAGTTTACCTTCTCTGGTCATGAAATACATTCAACAGGGCCCTGTGGATTTCCAGATACAAAATTATATATATATATATAAATATAAAATATGTCCAAAACATATATATACACATTATATACACCTGAGCATCTGTTTGTATGTATGTGTGTGCATGTGAGTGTATTTAAAATGTGCTTAGTGAACTCTCAATTGTTCTCAGTGATGGATAGAAAAAGAGACAATGAGAAATGAGGAATACATTCCGAGTTTCTGCTTTGTAACTTGGGAAACACGCATGCACACTCACCCAGTCTGGCCCGCACACACGCACACCGCCCGCCCTCATCCACATTCATCCTCTCTCACTCTCTCTCACCAACTTGTCTTCCTAACTCGAGGTTAATAATGTTAGTGACTGAGGGGACTTAAATTAACAACAGAGAGCCAGCCAGCAAGTTAAAAGGAGAGAAGGGGAGGTGGGGGGAGTGAGAGAGAGCAATGCAAAAGCTAAAAGGGTAACTGAGAGTTGGCTGCACACACACAGATGCACAGAACTTGGAAACGTCTGAGCAGCAGGTCCAAAGAATGAACTGAGGCCAAACTTTCCCAAAGAGTAAAGAGGAAAATGAACAAAGTAAGATAAAATAAATGATAACAACGGGGTTTGACCTTCCACTCAATAAAGACTACACAGGAACTCATTACAGAACACTACAGAAATTGGGAATTTGAGGTAATATCGAAAATAAATGTGGCTTTACCTGTAGCTCTAACTGCTGTACAACCTGCATTTGTACTCTACATTGAGCTGTACTTCTATCGTCCAGCGCATGCTCACTGTTGAGATGT